TGAAGTTAAATCAACACCTTGCCAAAGTGCTTTTTGCCTAAAACGGAATATTATAACCTTCATTTTGGTAAGACTGGCTGCAGAGCTGCTGTAAATAAATTAGTTTAGTTTAGTTTAGTTTAGCATTAGTCGCCCTAATTATCATTTATAAGCATAAACATATACATATATAAACAGTTAATAAATAGTTTATAACACTAAAATATTGCTGCAAGCAGATATAAGTCTTTATTCATATATTTGCTAAAAGCTATAACTCCTCCTACATATGAATGGAGGCTGCTGTATAAACAGATTATGAATGACAGCATTGACAAACCAGCCCAGTCACCAGGAGACACATTGTACGTTTCTGCAAACCACAATTACATTCCCTTAACATGCTTCATATGTGTCCTATAAAAATTTCTAGAGTATATAAATATAAGTAGTATATAAGCTGATTTTGTCATCAGGAGGTGGAGGGGATGGTGGATGGTCACCAAGGCGAGGCGCCTGCCAGGCTGCTGACCACAAACAAACAACACTGGAACAAGGATGTTTTGTTGCAACCTGTCGCTGTTTTTCCAGCAGCTTTTGGGTGTCTGGAGCACCTCCTCACTGTATTTTTAAAGCATTTTTAGGCACCAAAGGTGAGTGTTTTTATAGCGACCCTCACTGTGTTTACAGCGTCTTTAAAGGCACCAAAGGTGGGTGTGTTGTAGCCACATGTCATTATGTTTCCAGCTGCTTTTTAGGCACCAAACGTAGGTGTTTTTATAGCAACCCATTGCTTCTTTTTCCAACAGCTCTTTAGATACGCGACATGGGTGTTTTGTAGCAAACTTGTTGCTGTTTTTTTCAGCTTATGGTGACCCTTCACTGTGTTAACAGCGTCTTTAAAAGCACCGTACTTGGGTGTATTATAGACACCTGTCACTGTGTTTCCAGCTGCTTTTTGACGCAGAATGTGGGTGTTTTGTAGCAACCTGTCACCGTGTTTCCAGCTGCTTTTTAGGCACTGAATGTGGGTGTGTTGTAGTGACCTGTCACTGTGTTACCAGTGGCTTTTTGATGCAGAATGTGGGTGTTTTGTAGCAACCTGTCACTGTGTTTCCAGCTGCTTTTTGACACCAAATGTGGGTGTTTTGTAGCAACCCATCGCTGTTTTACCAGCGGCTTTTTAGGCATCAAAGTTAGGTGTTATGTAGCAATCTGTCACTGTGTTTCCAGTGGCTTTTTAGGCTCTGAACTTGGGTGTTTTGTAGCAACCTGCCACTGTGTTTCCAGTGGGTTTTTAGGCACTGAATTTGGGTGTTTTGTAGTGACCGGTCACTGTGTTTCCAGCCTCTTTTTGACACTGAACGTGGGTGTGTTGTAGCGACCTGTCACTGTATTTCCAGTGGCTTTTTGACACCAAACATGGATGTTCTGCAGCTATCCATCTGCTTTTTTCCAGCAGGGATAGTGGCACAAAAAACAGATTTGTTTTACCAGGACACTGCTGCATTTCTTGCAGGGATCGTGCCCCCCAAAAGCAGGTATGTTTAGTCTTGATGTTTTCCTAACTGTAACCACATATATGTACTGCTCATAAATACTAAATAGGACGACTTACATAGTTATAGCCAATAACGACCATCACATAAATAAATCAATGTTTTACATGCATACTGACAGATTTGAACAAACTGACAGTGTGAATTTTCAGCATAATCTACTCAAAACCTGCTCAGAAATGCATTTTGTGGCCAAATGTATGTGGACACATCTGTGAGCACTTTTGGTCTAGGGCTGTTCTCCATGGTTTGGGCTTGGCTCCTTAGTTCCAAGAAATTTAAAGGGAGTTTTAATGCTACAACATTCACTGCTCCTTTAGACAATAGAGTGCTTCCAGTGTTGTGGCGGCAGTTTGGGGAAGGCCCTTTCCTGTTTCAACATGACAATGCCCCTATGCACAAAGCCAGGTCCATAAAGATATGCTTCTCCAGCTTAGCGTGGAAGAAATTCAGATCTCACCCACTAATGCTCTTGCAGCTGAGCAGGAGTGAATCCAAAAACTTGTAGAAGGACTTTCCACAGGAGTGGAGGCTGATATTAGCATATTAATGTCCTTTGTCTTGGAATTAGATGCTAAATTACACATGGGTGTGACGTTTTGGTGTCCACAGTTTGTTTGAGTGTTAACAGAGCTTTGGCCATGTAATTAGGTATGTAATATAAAGTAGTGGCATAATTTACAGGTTAAAAGCCCCCATTAACGTGTAGCTTTTGGACTTAACACAAAACTTTGAAGCTGTTTATCCTCACTTGTATTAAATCTGCATCAGCTGGTGGCCAAACTTGACGCTGGCTTGCTTGTGCTGACATGTAAATCATTAACATGCCAAAAAAGGCTTTTAAACTATGGATGACAACGAGTAATCAATGACTGATTAATCCGTTGTTATTATTTTAATTGATTAAAGATCTGATTCTGAAATATACACAGTGTGTAGTCTTGAATTTCATTCTTCATTCTTCTTCTATCATCATATAATGGTGTATTGTGAAAGCATGTTTCAGTGATCAGTATTAGCAAACAGCACGCAATATAACCATTTTATGACAAGGCAGCTGTCTTGGGGTACGGACCGACATTGGAAAATGAAGTGGGCAAACCATTATTCAGTTATATTAAATATGTTTCATATGTCTAGGCCTTTATATCTTTATGTTTCATAGGCAGTTTGATTTTGATTAAAGAAGAAAATGCATGTGGTATTGTTTGGTATAAGCAAAGTTTTCTTTTTTAAATCAAAATGAATCAATCGTTAATGTTACCAATGATCAATTAAGGACATTGCTTACAATTTGCAACCCTATTTTACACCTTTCTCTAAAAATAGCCACTCGGATTTTGTTTGTGTTCTTGAATTTGTTTATATAAATCAGTCATTGTGGATGTGTACCCATTTATTTATTTTCAACAGAGAATGAAGTGGATGAGATTGAGGCAGGCATGTCCAAAGTCTACTAACTACTACTTCCTCCTGTTCCTTTTCGGATGTGTAAATCAGATTAATCATACACTGACAACTGCTGGTACATTATGCTTTTTGATATTTGCAAATATTACTTTCTTTCTGTCTGCTTGTTTGTAAGTTCATGTCTTTTTTTTTTTTTTACATGTTCAAAATAAATAATATCAATATTAAAGGTCCCGCGGCTTGTCTTTGAAAATATACTATATGTGGCCACCCCACACAATATTGGTTAATAAAGCAGGATCACTCTTTCCATTTTTTGACTCATGGCAGGACTATCATACAGTTTGTGGAAATGCACCAAGTAGGAACTACACAGGCAGAGCTTCTGTGTTTTCATGGAGACCATAAACAAGCAAACAAACAAGGAAGAAGCAGTAACGTCGACAGCAGGAGCCACTGCTTTCAGGAGCGATGGAACATTGAATACTTTTTCAATGGAAGATGACACAGTTGCGTATATGTCTAATTCAGTGGTTTTCCAGTGGTGTGATGTGAGATTCTGTGATAACCACACATTATTATTGCAATATTCAACTGGGCCTATACAAAAAGTTTTAAATTCATTTTTAATTTTTAATTGACTGTATCAGCATGGTGGGTTCCTGGTTTGAACCCAGGGTGGGGGAGCCCTTCTGTGTGGAGTTTGCATGTTCTCCCCGTGTCAGCGTGGGTTTCCTCCAGGTGCTCCAGCTTCCTCCCACAGTCCAAAGACATGCAGGTTAATTGGCAACTCTAAATTGCCCGTAGGTGTGAATGTGATTGTGAATGGTTGTCTGTCTCTATGTGTCAGCCCTGTGATAAGCCCCTTTTATACTGCTAGATTTTCGGCGGATGTTGGGTCGTTTTGCAGGCAAGCTGCGAGCGTTTAGACACACAGAGCCGGATTGGCGAGTTGATCCGAGGTGCCAATTTAAAAGAAGAAAGCCGTGAACAGGACAATGGATGCTTTATTGTATGGAGCAAATTACAACAAAGTAGCAGCAACGACAACCTGCCGCTGAAAGAAAAGAGGAAATAAACTGTCAGTAGACAGTATCATGAGTGTGTTTGTCTAAGTTTCGGTGTGGAAATCATAGGTTACCTATCTCTGAGCGCAGGTATGATCGTGAAAATGTCCCCCGGAAATGTACTCTTTGTTTGACTGTCAATCGAGGAGACGAATATCATTATGTACTTGTGTGTTCTTTTTTTGATAAAGAGAGAAGAGAGTTGGTTTGACAGTTCTATTGAGCAAATCCAAATATTTATAAGTTTCAAAAGTTAATGTCATCTTAAAAAGTAAAGGTCTTGTCAAATTTGTTGAAACTTTTAAAGAAAATCTTGAATAGTTTCTCTTGATTTGCTTTGACTTGTATGTATGTACACAAATTCTGTTTTATATATTTTGCTGTGCATTGGCTGCCGCCTGTCCTGATTTGTTAATGTTATTTTTTGTTGTTTGCCCCTTATACTCCGGGGAGGGGTCAGAAGGAATAAATGAAATGAAATGAATGAAAGCTACCTGTCTTATGTCGTGATTAAAGAAGTGACCGTGCACAGATATACAGTTGTGCCGTGAGATTTTGGCTTTTGGCTTGGTCTAATTTGTGTGTGATCATGATGTGAGAAACAGCGGGCCCCCAGGTATTTTCACATTATCTAATATGGCCTCCATTTAAGGCACAGTAGGCCTGTAGGTATAAACAGCATAGATACAGTGGGAACATGACACTGAAGACAGGATGTAGTGAAGTACAAAATAAGTTCTGTATGCATCAAATTTAATGTAAATTATTATGGAAACTTCTCTGTATTTCCTGCTGTGGTCAGAAAACTCAGCCAAAGAACATATTTCTCCAGCTAAGTCAAAAATCACAGCACACTGTGGATGTTTCAAAAGCCTAACCGAGCATGGCTGACAGTCAGAGTCCAGTCCACCTTAAAACACAGCTCTGACACACATATACATTTCCTGAAAACGCCCCGTGCACGACAGACAGAAAAAAAGGAAAACTCAAGTGACTCTGAATAATAATACTAAGGCCGCGGTGTGTATGCAGAGAAGGGGGGGTTGGACTTGTGCTGTATTCTCCGCCAAACTTCTCCAAACTTCCCTTCCCTCCCCCCTCACAAAACTTCACCGCGTTTGCGTTCAGTCTGCTGCCTCAACCTCACCTCACCGCACCGCCGACCAAGGTCAGCGTCAGTGACCGCCCACAGGAACTGGCAACGCGGCACCAAACCTCCGCGGACCCCGGTAGCCTTTTTTTTCTTCCTCTCTAACATTGGAGTTGGACTCACTCACTCACTGGCTGAGCAAACTACGGACTAACCGACTGCTGAGCGGATGGAGGAAGCCTCGGTAGCGAAGGAGTGAATCAGCCAAACGATTGTGAACAACGTCAAGTTTGTGAGCGTTAAACGAAGTGACACCATGTTGGGACACCCAGCGTCTTATGCTAACAAGAAGAGGAAGAAGCCTGTTCTCAAACAGTAAGACTTGTCAGAAACTATTGTTTGACTCCACAGCCCTTCTCTATACTGTACGCAGCCAGCTTGTGGGGCTAAAATGAGTATATGCATATTTAAAGCTGACATTTTGAAGTTAAAGTTAAGTACGTAAACGCACCACCTGAGTTAACGTTAACAGCAACTGGTGCGTTTATGAGTTAACGTTAGAGACGTAACTTTCAATTATCGGAAGTGGTGGGCATTATATAGAAAGACGGGCATCATCATAATCATAAAGTGTGCTTTATTTTAGAAAGCTGCTTTAAATTAAAATACCTCAAATTAAATCAAACTAGACATCTTGGCGAAAATGAAGGTAAACCGAGTTAAGGTCGACCGCATCCTCATTAAAACTATGTCATCATATATCAGTTATATATCCATAACTGTGAGGCAGAAGTTGTCAGATAAACGAGCAACAGCCGGTAAAATGTGGCCGTGTGTTTGTGTAGATGGTTACACTCTCCTCTGGGTTTTGTTTCCCCTTCTCTCGCGGACCACCTTAAGAATGTGTCTAGCTTGGATCTGGCATGGATATCTTGCCCTCGCGCATTAATCACAATCAAGTTGGAGAGTCGGCTGCTGCTCTCACGCGATGCTCCGAGGAGGGCGGAGGGCTCGCGGGCCCCGAGTATGTTATTGTAATCTGATACGGCCTCGCGCTCCATCTTTGTGGGATCACTGCTCTGTGTGTGTGTGTGTGTGCTGTATAGTGCCTGTTCCTCTGGCTTTTCTTTATGCTCCTCTTGTTTCTTACCGTTTTGAAAAGATTATTTTATAGTAAACTTTACAGTCAGTTGGAAGTACATAAAGAAATACTACATTAGAAAATAAAAGTTGTTTTAGATTCTTATTTCATTAAGTCTTTTTAGTGTTGAACTGTTGATGCATTAACATCAGTAGTATTTTCGTGACTTAAAGTTTGTTTTTGAGTTTTTAAAACATTTTCAATGACACAAAACCACCTAAAAAGTAAAACAAAAAAACAAAAATAATAATAAAATAGGTCAGGACTGACTTTTACTAAAAGATAAAAAACAAAAACAAATAGACAATAGTAATATAAAAACAAATTAAGGTAAATCAAAAATATCTTTAGGCATCAAAGGTGGGTGTTTTATAGCAACCAGTCGCTGTGTTTCCAGTGGCTTTTTAGGCATTCAAAGCAGGTGTTTTGTAGCACCCTGTCGCTGTGTTTCCGGTTGCTTTTTGACACCGAACGTGTGTGTTTTGTAGTGACTCGTCACTGTGTTTACAGTGGCTTTTTAAGCACTGAATGTGGGTGTTTTGTAGCACCCTGTCGCTGTGTTTCCAGTTGCTTTTTGACACTGAACGTGTGTTTTGTAGTGACTCGTTGCTGTGTTTCCAGTTGCTTTTTGACACTGACCGTGGGTGTTTTGTAGTGACTCGTTGCAGTGTATCCGGTGGCTTTTCAGGTGCAAAACGTGGGTGTGTTGTAGCGACCTGTCACTGAATTTCCAGCTGCTTTTTAGGCACCGAACGTGGGTGTGTAGTGACGACCTGTCACTGTTTCCAGTGGCTTTTTGACACCCAATATGGGCATTTTGTAGGGACCTGTTGCAATGTTTCCAGCTGCTTTTTAGGTACCGAACGTGGGTGTGTTGTAGCGACCTGTCGCTGTGTTTGCAGTTGCTTTTTAGGCACCTAATTTGTGTGTTCAGCTTTCACTTTTATTAGAGTAATATTTGTCCAGGAGTATCTACATTTTGACTCAAGTTATGGAGTTGTGAACTTAGTCCACCACCTGTCTGACCACTGCATTACAGTATTTTGTGGGACTTTTTTAACAAAGGTGGTCTCAAGTCCCAAGTCCTACACTTTGAGTTTTGAGTCATAAAAATTGTGACTGAAGTCTGACTAGTAATTCATTATAGTTAGGGTTACAACAGTATTCTTGCTAATGGATGTACATAAAGACAGATGGTTTTCTTAGGTGGTGGTAGAGACCAAAATATAGCTAAAAAGAGACTCAAGTATGAATCTTGAGCAAAAAAAGGCACCATTTTTGGTCTAAATATAAACCTTAGGCCCTGCCCTCCATCACAATTCAAACCACAGTGTCCCAATATTACTTTTAAATTGACTGGTATGTCTTTAATGCAGGGATTAACAACAGACTAACTAAATAGACAAACTTAATCCATGTAATGGTTTGTTTACATAAGCAATATTTGTAAACATGTTGTGCTGCTTTTTAAAATCATACTGTTAAACACAGATGCACTGTGAGTCAACAGAGAGCAGATACGTGTGCTTATAGTGATCTGGCAGCTCGGGTATAGGCAGTTCCCAGTGTAAATCCCAAAATAAAAAGGTGGCCTGTGTGCAGACGTCTGTGTTTCTGAAGATGTGGGGCTGTGCAGCGAGGACTGAGGTTTTCTGGACAGCCAGCTGGGCTCAGCTGCACAAAGGCACCATTGAGCCTGACTGTAAAAAGCTGTGGTCACTACACAGGGGCATTCCACGGCAGATCTGGCCATCCTAATTCTCTGTTTTATTACCGTGGACGCCTTCTGTGTGCGTTGCCAGTCTCCTTTGCCATGCATCCTGCTACATTATTAAAATGTAATGTATTCCACGCACTAACTCTCCCACTCTTACAGCAACCATTTTGTTCAGTTTGCAAGCAATGTTGTTCTCATGCGTTGAAACATTTAAAGCTTGAGTGCAGAACATCTGTCTCCCCCCTCTGGCAGTTACAGTAATAACATCAATGCACGCTTTTAACATAGGCCAACAGGTGAGCTATCTGCGTCACATCCACCCCTTTTTTTAAAGATAAAATTTCATAGATAGTATAGGTAGACAAGAAAGGGGCGCACGCTCTATTAGTCTAACTACTGGGGCCCCCCACAAGTCTTTTTTGACTTTAATCCTCCCTCTGAATGCCAAGATGCCTTTTTATCTGGAGCATCTACTCAATTTTTCTTGGAGGCTTCTTAGGATTTCTTAGTATCGTCTGCCATCCTAGCTGACACCGAATATTAGTATGTTATCAGAAAGACGTTGCAGTCTTACATTGGACGGACGTAAAATTTTGATTGGAATAAACATCGAGATATTTTAAATGTCTAAGGACGTTAGAAGTTCATGTTGTGTGGCCTTTAACATTATGACGTTTTGAGTTTTGGTTTCCGTACTTCGTGATTAAACATCGTTATTCTACGTCAAGAGGATGTTTGCGTGAGACGCTTTGAAGACGGTGGGTTTTGGTTACTTAACAACACAACTTAAAACCAACAAAATATCCATGTCACCTGTCATCAGTATTCTACACCACATTTATTTTGACATTAGACGTTGTCCTGGCATTGAACTTTGGTTCAGTAAGCATTGAAAAACCAAAATGAAAAGCAGTGCCAACAAGAAAAAGACAAAACAAATGTAATATAATCTAATGCTCTGGATGGTTGACACAAAACCCATCACATCACTGTGCCTGTGTGGGAATGTCACCACAGACACTCGAGACCAAAAGTCTAGCACACTGAGAAGTACAGAGAGCTTTTCCTGGTGACGATAGGCTTAACTTGCATTGTGTGAACTTGTTCGGCAAGGACTTGAATGTAATGGACATTCAGACTCACAAGATTTAAACTGACAACCATCATGTTGTCACAAAAACACATTACTCCAACCGTAGTCTCCCAAATTCATGTAGGAACTAAACAATAAGAATTCATTCAATTTTATACACACTACCAACACAGAAAATTAATTTGAGACCTGCTTTGTCCTTTTCTCAGCCCACTACAGTATTGTTTTTCAACAGCAGCGGCACTCCTACAGGTTTCTGTGAAAATATTAGTTAATTATAGTTTATCAGGCTCATTAAAGCCCTCCAGAGAGTGCAGTGCTAATGTGTACTTAACACTGAGTAAGTGGATTATAAATTGGATGCTTAATAGTGAGACTGTGCATTTATTTTAGCAAACAATGGCATCCTTAATCAGAGGGGATAATATGCTTCACCAGTGCAAATGTTTTTTTGCACAGTAATCTAAAGGGATTGTGAGAAATGCACACACAGGCAGACATGCTGATAAGAGGTTTGGCAGGACACCAAAACACTCCTGGTGATCAGTAACAAAGTTGCCCTTTGTTCTTTGCCCTTTGTTTCTTTTTCAAAGAGGAGTCTTCACAAACACCAGTGAAACACTTTTTAGCCTTGTCTAACACACTTACAGGAAAAATGTCTCCATTTATGACACAACTTGAAAAAAACCTATGTGCACTGCTAGCTATGGAATAATATTGGGTATGTTAAAGCTGTCTTAGAATACCAGACAGTGTAGCTTAAAGGGATAGTTCACCCCAAAATCAAAAATACATATATCATTCGTCATATTTCCTTCTCTCCAATATAACTAGATAGCACTCAGCTTGTGGTGCTTAATAATTTGCAAAACTCAACAGCAGTGTCTTTCTAACTACACATTGTGACTGCTCAAGATAATCTATAGACCTTGTTATGAGCAGTTTTATGTAGTTTTAGGCACCAAATTTGGGTGTATTGTAGCGACCTGTTACTGTGTTTCCATTTGCTTCTTAGGCACCGAATGTGGGTGTGTTGTAGCAACCTGTCACTATGTTTCCACTTGCTTTTTAGGCACAGAACATGAATGTTTTGTAGCGACCAGTCGCTGTGTTTCCAGTGGCTTTTTAGGCACAGGACTTGGGTGTTTAGTAGTGACTTGTCACTGTGTTTCCAGTGGCTTTTTGACACAGGATATGGGTGTTTTGTAGTGACCTGTCACTGTGTTTCCAGTGGCTTTTTGACACAGGATGTGGGTGTTTTGTAGCGACCTTTCGCAGTGAGTTCAGCAGCTTTGTAGGCACAGAATTTGGGTGTGTTGTAGCTACCTGTTACTGTGTTTCCAGCAGCTTTTTGACACCGAACATGGGTGTGTTTTAGTGACCTGTTGCTGTGTTTCCAGTTGATTTTGAGCACCAAATTTGAG